GTGGGCGAAAGCCTCGAAGCTTGGCTCCACCCCGTACATTTCGCACCCGGCCACATAGCCGAGTACGTTTACCCAAGAGTTGGGGGCTAACTGCCATAACCCCAAATCATACCCATCTAAAATCCGCTGAACAGCCGGATGTAATGGGAAGCGCAGTCCAGCTTTGATGGCCGCCACATAGCAGCCAAAGCAGCCGTCATCATAGCTGGTACCAGCCGGCCAGACGACAGTGTCTTCTGGATCCGGCACGAATAGTAAATATTCCGGGCCTATTCTGTGGTTAGCAATAAAGCTCTCCACTTTGTCTTGCATGGTTGCGATCCGGCCCCGGGGTACCGTGCAGTAGTAGGGGGTGTTCTCCTCTCTGTGAGAGGCGGACGGCTCCGCCCAATTGTCCCCTTTCTCAACTGCATGAGAAAGCCTCGCCTCTTGTAGGCGACTGTTTCTCTCTTCTGAGCCTGGAGAACTGTGGCCAGAAGAGCTGGACTCGGACTCGTCCTCTGACGAGTCCGAAGAGGACGACTCCTCCCCTCTCCCAGAGGGGCCCGCCTCCTCTCCCTTAGAAGGAGCAGGAGGAAAATTAGACATATCAACGGTAAGATGGGAAGGGACCACCTTGGCCCCTCTCTCAGAACTGTCGGCTTGGCAGCCGCCTCGTTTCAATTCTACATCTGGCGCCTGGTCAGATGTTTCACTAAGGAGCACCCTTTGGGAGGAGCCGTCTGAGTTTGATATCATGGCAGTCTTTTTTGTTCTGGCCATCACGTTCTGCATAGACACAGATACAGTCGGACTTTGTATAAAGGGCAAAGATGGGTCCAGAAAAGGGCAGGCGGCACTCCTAGTCCTAGATTCAGCCGTCCCCGGTGACCGGCTGATCACTAACTTAGGTCGTGTCGTGTGCTTCCGTGGTGCCATTTCAAAAAATAAAAAGAAAATTAAGAGTAAGAGAACTGAGTTACCTGAACGAGTGACGGTTGATGAAGTTCTGGAAATCCGGGTCAGTCGGCTTGTCAGAACAGGCGGTAGGCAGAAAAGGTCCGAAATGTCAGAGCAAGTTCAGGAGTCCGAATGTTCTCGCAAAGTTCTCAAATGTGAAAATGACCGAAGTCAGCACTTCCTTATATAGGCAAAGTGAGAAGGCGAATGGTCGCTTTCAAATTCAAAATGTGGGCGGGAAAATCTCTCGGCCGTTTGCAAGGTGACACCTGTAGCAGGCCGTCGCCTGTCACCGTGCGATACCTGTCACAGGCGACACGTGACCAGTCACGTGCCACCTGTGAGGGGCAAATGATTAGGGGATTTTTATCCTCCAATCACCGTCTGACAAGTGGACCAACCAGGTTCCGCCACGTGTCCTTCACGTAGGCCAATAGGAGCCTGCCACGTGTCAATCACAGATACGTCCTCTGCGGACCAATTGAGACACGCCATGTGTCCACCCATGCCAAATGGGAAAACCGGCCACCAAGGCCCAATCCTGTTTAGAAGCCCGGTCAGCCCTAGGTTTACCCTAAACCTAGAGAGTGGCACGCTTCTCAAGACTATAAATACTCCTCTTAATCCTCATTAAGAGGAGAGAGAAAAAAGAGAGAGAACTCTAATAACACACGGATTATACATTAAACACTCTCACCTAGAGAGACTAAACCACTTTAATTTCCGCACTCATTACTCCTTAATCAGGGACTAACTTGACCGTTGGAGGCGGAGCTCTCAGGAGTCTCCGTTATTTTGCAGGTACAGGCGGCCGGTTCCAGTCTCGGTGTTGTAACTCTCCCGCAGGACATCAGAAAACCCCGAAACACAACCTATTACTATTACTATTATTATTATTATTATTATTATTATTATTATTATTATTATTATTATTATTATTGTTGTTATTATTATTATTATTACGCATCTTCAAAGGCTCGTCCAAGACCAACAACACCAGCATGTCGTAATAGCATGTCGTATTAATATTATTATTATTATTATTATTATTATTATTATTATTGAACTTAAACGAACTAAACTAATCGGTTCTACAGAGAAAGTCCACAAGAACATGGCTTAAATCAACCATCGTGAAACCCTTATTTATTGAGAAATTACCGTTTTGCCACTAGATAAACAAATTTTATTTAATTTTAAATATTATTTATCAAGAAGATAATCTTTTATTTTCTCAGGAAAGTACAATAATATGAATCATAGAAAATGACAAAAGAAGGAAAATAAAAAACACATAAGAACATTGAAGAAAAACTAGAATGATGAAGCGGCTGAGGTTAATCATTAATGCAGCGTTTGTTTTGACAGAAAACATTTTTCAAAAAAATAATTTTCTCATTTTTCATTGTTTAGTTAGTATAGGAATGAAAATAATTTTCCCAAAGATGGAAAAATAGTTCTCCAACGAGTAGAAAATGTTTTTCTTGTAAAAGAAAAGCATGTCACATTTTCCTCCCTACTCTTGTACTCCTTACATTCCTTACTTCTCCTCTCATTCATATTCTCCCTCTCACTCCTATTTTCTACTTCCTATATAATTTTTCTTGTAATAAGAAAACAAACAAAGGAAAACTATTTTTGCCATTGTATTTTTCTTTGAAAATTATTTTCATAAAGGATCATTTTCCCAAAAAATTGTTATCTGTTATATCAAACGGGGTCAATAGAGCGAGTCACATAACATATTCTACGAAAAATACAAACAGAAATTAATATTGGAACTTGTACGTAAGTAATCAAACAAGAATCTGTGGTTTTTTACATTATTATGTTATGTGTAATGAGCTTGTTGAGACAGGTGAAACGAACACGATATATACAAGATTTATTTTTAATGAAATTTGCAATAATTTATGTGTAATACTATTATAAGGATGGTGCTATGATACACTATATGATAAACTACAAATAATAGTTGTACACAATACAATTTTTTGTATGCGGCCTGCTTTACCGTGCGACAGGGATTACTCAAGTTACTTGGTCAGGGGTTATTCGAGTTGTCGGGGTTACTCGAGTTTCTCGGTCAGGGGATATTCGAGTTGTCGAGGTTACTCAAGTTGTTCGGTCCGGGGTTATTTGAGTTACTCCTAACTGAGTAACCCCTCAAGTAACCCCTGACCGAGTAACCCCTCGAGTAATCTATGACCGAACCCCTCAAGTAACCCCTAACCGAGTAACCCCTCAAGTTACCCCTGACTGAGTAACCCCTCAAGTAGCCCCTAACTGAACCCTCAAATAACCCCTGACCGAACTCCTTAAGTAACCCATGACCAAATTGCTCGAGTAACCCCTGACCGAACTCCTTAAATAACTCCTAACCGAGTAACTCGAGTAACCCCTGGCCGAGTAACTCGAGTAACCCTTGACCGAGTAACCCCTGACTAAGTAACCCCTCAAGTAACCTTTGACCGAGTGAACCCCTCGAGTAATCCCTATCCGAACTAGGGGTGAGCAAAGACCCAGGGTATCCGGGGTACCGGACCCGGAACCGGTTAGGACCCCCCGAGTCCGAACCCGGAACTGGTCTCACCGGTTTCGAGACCGGGTCCAAAATGTCGGACCCGGTTGTAACCGGGTCCTGAAATTTCGGACCCGGTACCCGCTGGGTACCCGGTTGTTTAATATGTTTAATTTTACCCTTATTTAACCAACCTAATACTTTTATTTTATTGTTCATTTCAATCTTAATTTTAATTAGTTTACCCACTCTTTTTTAATGTCACTATATTTCTCTCTCTTCAACCCTTCATTTCTCCATTTTCAAAGTTCCACCACCATATATAACCACCACCTACCACCCCCAGCTTGCGGCGACCCACTCCACCACCACCTTCACTTACTCCACCAACACCCCACGACACCGACACTACCACCACCTTTTTCACCGACACTACCTCCATCTCTTTCATCGAGACCACCGACACCACCACCATTTTCAACCGAGTTCGAGTTGATTTGAACAGCCGAATTAAATTTTGTTGATGATGAAGAAGTCGATTTAGCAGGACGAGCAGGCAATGCGGTAAAAAGTGAGGAGAAGAAGAGGAGAGAGAAAATTAGAAGGCAGCCATTAAAATTAAGGCTACCCATTTCAGCAAGGTTCAAACAATGATGAAGATTGAAAATGTGGGTGGATCACTGTTTTATTATTATTCTGGTCACGTTAATTTCAGAGAAAAATAAATTGGAGATTGAAGAAGAAGAAGAAGAAGAGCCATTAAAATAAATTGGGATGAAGATTGAAGATCCGGGTACCCGGTCTTGGAACCGGTTCCGAAATTCCTGGACCCGCTTCAACCGGTTCCGGGACCGGGTCCAAGATCTGGATACCCGGTACAACCGGTTCCGGGACCGGGTCCTGAGAACTCAACCGGGTACCCGGTTCCGCTCATCCCTAATACGAACCCCTTAAGTAACCCCTGACCGAGTAACTCGAGTAAACCTTGACTAACCCCTAACAAAATAACTCGGGTAACCCCTGCCACACGGTGTGGCCTGCTGCACCAAAAAGTTGTTGTACTTCGTATTATTCTCCTAATTATTTTTAAATATCAAATATCATTAGAGAAAAAAAAAATTAATTAAGGCTTGTTTGCATCGCTTTTTGTTTTCAGTATTTTATTTTTCTGAAAACAAAACACCAAAAGCAGGAAATTAGAAAAAAGTTGTTTCCACTTTTTACTTTTCAGTTTTTAATTTACCATAATTTCAATAAGTTTGACCGATTTTTACTTTATTAAATGACATATATCACATAATTTCAAAAAATAAAAATATATATAGAGATCAAACGAGCGAACCCTTAATAATTTAATTTAGTTAATCATTGTTAATCTAAATCCTGAATTCAGCACTATAAAAAGGATTGAGGAGGCTCATGTAAAAATCGTCCAAATTAAAGTTCCCTTAAACACACCAATTTCTTGCTGCCCTTACACTTTTTAAAAAGTTAAGAAAATTTCTAGCCAAGTTATTTAAAATCTTTTAAGTTTATTATAATGTGGAAGCTGAAGATATCAGAAGGAAATGATCTATGGCTACTGAGCTTAAACGACCTTGTTGGTCGACAACATTGGGTATTCGATCCCAAGGCCGGAACAGCGGAGGAAGGAGCTGAAGTCGAGAAGGTTAGAGAGGAATTTAAGAGGAATCGCTTCACGAATAGGCAAAGTGCTGATCTCTTGATGAGAATGCAGGTTTAAACATTATCTTTGTTGTTATGCTACATACTTCTACGTACTATTCCTCCGTTCTATAATAATGATTACACTTATAAATAATTGTGGCTCACTCTATATTTCCAATTGAGGTAATTTTTTATATTAAACTAATGTAATTTACATTAATTAATTAATATTGAACTAATACATATGCTCAATTTATAATTGTAACTCATAACTTAGAAAAATGACTGAATTTAAGAAAATTCTTAAATGACATTTGAACGCTAATTTTCATAACAATAATTAGTAATATTTTCTTAACAATAATATTAATTTTGGTACTAATCGAAGACATAACAAATGAAAGGAAAAATTGCTATGAATAATCCCAACTTTGCTCTATTCCTAATCCCAACTTTCGATTATTTTTTAATAATCTCAACTTTATACTTCATTAGGCCGTTGGTAGTCAAACCTGGGATGCAGCATTTGCATTTCAAGCAATATATGCCAGTGGTCTTACTGATGAATATGCAACACCACTTAAAAAGCACACGGTTTTCTCAAAGCCTCACAGGTTTCTCTTTTCATTTTTGATAAATTACTGTATATAATATCATGGTATACTTTCAACTTTCTGAAATTTATTTTAAAAAAAAACGAACAATATAAACCTTTAACTTCCATTAAAAAAAAAAAAAAAAAAAAAGTTTAAACACCCCCGCCCCCTCTCTTTTAACTTCCATTAAAAAAAAAAATTCCATTTTACCATCCTTGGCAGTTCCTTAAGAACTTAGAGAGGATCTGACTGCTCTTTCCCCAAGTACTCGATCGTAGCCTATAGGGGATCCCAATTGTAGAAAGAGCGCCAATTTCAAGCGATTGTGGTTGATTTCTTTATGAGAAGACTGTCCTTTTTTTTTGTTGCACCTTGTATTGGCTGCACTTTTATTTGCAAATGTTCCCTTGGCTTGAGGAAGAGAAAGTGGAAGCACAGCACCTATACGATGCCGTGAATGTCCTTTCTCGAAGTAATAATTTCTTGTATACTTATTGATTTGATTTAGAGAGCACATCACCATTATAAACTAGCTAAGTTATGTTCACTTTGACTTATATCAAATAAAGTAATTTCAGGCAAGTTCAGTTATAATTTCAAACTATAAAATTATACAGTACAAGTTTCGATAATTTCAAATATCATTATATTAGCAATATATAAGTAATTTGCTCCATGTCTTGGATTATTTGAGTATATTCCATGCATTTTGCCCTATCCTTTTGTTAGAGTGAGAATGGTGGTTTGCCAGCTTGGGAGGCTCAGCGAACATACAGTTGGATTGAGGTAATGGGCTAATGACCAAATTCTCCTTAAATAATACCTCCGTTCATATTATTTGCAACTTTGAGATATTATTTATGAGACATAAATATTTTTAAGTTGCAAAGTTGCAAATAATATAAAACATAGGTGGTAATATTTTATCAACTTAAAGTATTTTTTTGCAATATTTAATAAAATGTGTTTGTTAATTTCACATGGTCTCAGAAATTCAATCCTACAGAGCTCTTCGGTGGTGTTCTAATTGAAAGAGAGTAAGCTTTTATATGCTAAGATTGCCAACCCTTTTTTCATAAACCATTATCAGCTAATACCTCGGTAGTTAACTAGAGATGATCATAGACCGGAACAAAACAATCGGTCGTAATTGAGTTAAAAAGAATACAAAAATTTCTAATTTAATTACTACAAAAATTTCTTATTTAATTAATATAATCTTGATTTTTAATGCTGTTATAACAGGCATGTTGAGTGCACTTCCGCAGTAATCCAAGCTTTAACACTCTTCAAGGAGCAATACCCAGGTCACAGGTCTGAAGAAATAAAGGACTCCATCTCTAGAGGATTACAATACATTGAAAGTACTCAAAACCCTGATGGTTCTTGGTAAATATGAAGTACTTCGTATAATATTTCATTTGTTTACCTACATGCACAACACAATTTTGATTTCTCTCTCAAAATTTTCATTTTTTCATTAGTTCAGTTGAGTCTTCTATCTAGAAAAATAGACTTCGAGGTAATGAGAGTGACTTCAATTTGGTTTGTTTTTGTGAGGATAGGCATGGATTTTGGGGGATTTGTTTTACATATGCAACATGGTTTGCAGTGGAGGCACTATTAACGAGTAATAAAAATTACCATAATAGTCAGGCTGTGCAAAGGGGATGTGAGTTTCTACTCTCAAAGCAATTGCCTGACGGCGGGTGGGGCGAAAGTTACCTCTCAAGCTCAAACGAGGTACTCTAATTCACTCCCTTCTCTCCCTCCCCTGACCCCAAGGGCGGTATAAGCCGCATTTCTTGAAGTGAAATAACATATGTTCGCCTTTTTAAGTCAAGTAATGGTGACCCGATCAGTTTGTCCCGAGCTCTCCCCAATAGTCTAGATTTGTGCATCACTTCTCTGTTTGGGATTGTGGAACAGGTTTATACAAACCTGAAAGGGAACAAGTCAAATGTGGTGCAAACTTCATGGGCATTATTAACTCTCATTAGAGCAGGGCAGGTGAATATACTAGCATTCTATCCTACATTTCCTATTGCAGCTTAAAGAAAGAGCCAGAAAACTTAAACCTGTGGTTAACCCAAATGATTCTCAATGTAACAGTGGGATGTGGATCCAGACCCTGTGAATCGAGGGATGAGGTTGGTAATCAACTCGCAATTGGAAAATGGAGACTTCCCGCCACAGGTAAGACAAGGTTTTCTCCTAAAATTAATCAGTTTTGATAAACACAATCATAAATGCTAACTAGTACTCCGTATTAAATATATCTCCTCAAACGATACTACCTATGCTACGGGTTTACTTTACTATAGAAACATAAAATCAAAGAGAACTCAACAAGAAACCGCATTGGGAGTTCTCCTATTTTAAGAAAAGATAGAGAGCAAAAGATTTTATTAATAAAGTACAATAGATGATTAAAAAAGGATAGAAGATTGTCATACAGGAAATAAAAATACATTATGAGTAAGATATTAGACTTTTTAATCTTTTATATATAAAAAAAAATGTGAGTAAAGCTTGAAAAAGAGGTCATAATATTTTAGAAGTTTGTGATTAAATAATGTGTAAGACAATGTTATTAATTTTTAGCTGATTAATGTTTCTACTTTCTACTCTTATCTTCGTTTCACAGTTAGCTCATAAGATGGAGCACAAGCCTTCTGAAATTTTTTATATTATATACACCCAGGTGCACCGTGCACCAACCCAACTAACCTAAGGTTAAGTTTTTGCTTCTTCATTTAATGATAAATGAAAAACAATCATCAAAATGAGAACAAAATACTCATGGGTATACCGTGCACCCGATTGTATAACAATCTGTCTAAGCCTTCCGCTCCTAAATAAAAGTCTTATTTACTCAACATATACTTAAGCCTTGTTCTCTTCACCTTATTTTTGTTGAATTGGAATTATTTTTGCTAGTTAAAACTTAAATTTATAGATCTCTATTATATTTGTTTTTTAAAATTACTAATTGTTATTGAACTAAAATTATTTTTACTGAATATCAAGACGGAAGAGAACAATCAGAATTGGGCTTTATTTAGAAAAGAAAACTAAAAAAAATAAAAAAATAAAAAAAATAAAATAAAATAAAATAAAAAATAAAAAAACCAGATAAACTTGATTAAAAGTACAATAAAAAATAGTGGAGTTTGGTTAGCAAATTAAAGGTGAATTAAACAATTGATAGTGAAAAAATGGCCTTTCATAAACGGACTTTCAATAACACAAATTTGTAGTGATAAGAGACTTCTATGTAGGGACAGGGGGAGTATCACTTACCAATATAATAACTTGAAATTTTTTGCCAAAGTGATACTTATTGTGGTAAGAGTAGATTGTTCCTCTATACAAGTATTTGCCTTGGCACATAAAAATAGTGACTTAGCGAAGTCTTCACCTAAATATTAAGGTAATCATACAGAGATTGTATAAGTGTCTTATAATTAAGTTCATATAATTCCAATTTAAACAAACCTAGACCCTCATTTAAGTTCAGTCACTGTTCACTGTTTTACTTCTTATCCATAATATTTTAACAAATATGCCAATATGGTAACTTTGTACAGGAAAGCACTGGAATATTCATGAAGAACTGCATATTAGAATATTCATCATACAGGTGTATTTTCCCCATATGGGTTCTTAGTGAATATCGCTGTGTACAAGCACAAAGATCAGCCATACTATAGCCAACACTCAATGGAACTCCAAGAGAGATGGTCACAAGTTACTAGTATCTATAGTGTATTGCTGCATAACATCACAGGATGTATGAGCAAATCAATGAACCATACAACGTTGCCTATTATATGGTTTTATGCTCTAGCTTACGAATCTTTGTCAATGTAAGGTTATTATGGTAGCTTCTAAAGGGTAATTCCCAAAAGTCAGGCCAAATTTGCCTACACATAGCCATGTAACACTCAATAAAATTATAATAAAGAGATTTTTTTTTTTTTTTTAAATAGATTCTATTCCCATTACAAGTTTGACTTATTTTAAGGGCATTTTGTCAAATTATAGTTTGTTAGATACCAAACACATTAAGTTTTTAAACCTTTTTTAATTTCTGATTGGGTGATGGAGTGATGCCCAAAGTAATACGTGTTGCACAGCCGCACAGCTTTAGTCAGAGATTTTCTAAGAAGAGCTCACAGAAATCAAGGGTAGATGAGTGAGGAAAATTGATATGTTCTTAAATTATTATGGAACCCATACAGGCAATTCAAAACAAAACCAAAAGACTAAAAGAAAAACAGAATTAAAAGATAATTCACTAAAGTGAGATTTACATTACTGAAAGAGACATGATTTGGCTGGCGAGACCAGGATCTTGTTGCAGCAGCTCCTTTAGGTTGTTTTCCACTTCCCCCATCTGTTTCTCCAGGTACTCTTTAGAAGTCTGTCACCAAATATAAAGACAATGCATCAAGTTAGAATATACAGCAACAAAGTAATCTGTATAAATGAACACATACAACTGAAAAAAGAAGGGGGGAAAAAAACACAAAAAAAAAAGCTGAAATATTGCTAAAAGGTCTTGTTGATATGAAACATATCAAAAACATATATATATATATATATATATATATATATATATATATATATATATATATATATATATATATATATATATATATGATAAACCTGAAAACCTAACAAATGAAATAATTGAGAAAACCAACATATTAATAAGCATAAAAACCTGTAAAGAAGCAATTGCAGTCTCACTGTCCTTGAACTTCTGTTCCTGTTCATCAATCAAGACCGATTTTGGCTCCAGTACAAACCTAAATATTATGGACAAAAACCATAGAAGGGTGTCAAAATAATGTTGAGGATTTACAACCACAGATTCCTGTAAGCCAAGGAGGACACTCACGTTCTTCCTGCAAAACCAAGGAAACAAAATCAACAATAAGTACAAAAATCTATAAGGTAAACAATCCACCAAGACAACAATCGCAATCAATTGAACATAGGTCCCAAACTGCAACAAACCACAACAATTATAGATATGTGCACTTTATGTATCAATAAATTATACTGATATTGACCTTACCAATGGATTTGTATGTATTTGTGTCATCAGGCACTTGTCGCAACTCCTCCAAGGTTAAGTAAGCACGCTTCTTTTCTGTTTCTTTAGATCGGATTTGGTTTTGCACCTGGATAGATCATAAATCATGGTTAATTTAACTATACAAAAGCATAACAGACCAATTGCAGCCCATGAAACTAATATACTAGAGGGAATAATTTGATACGGAGCACTTAAAATGAGTCACAAGTTATTGTAGTGCTAACATCAGAATATAGAAGACATGTACCAATGAACAACCTATCACACTAAACAAGTTCCTCGTTCTTCATAGCATGTTTTTGGAGAGTAACGGGATGAGTGATAGGATATGGAGATAGTCCAGAGAAAGGAAAAGTAAGTAAACTGTACTATAGATGGCTTCACATATCTACATATGTGTCACAGTCCAAGTGTTTTGACACAAGATCCGTGTGACGCGCTCTCGTCTACTGGCAATTCAAGTAAGAAAAGGGCTTGTGAGCATGAAGCAACACAGGCTGGGGACGAGTTTGATGGGCACTCATGCCTATTGGAGTCAGGAGTGGAGTCAAGGGGGGGTGATCGGGGCTTGTGACAATAGACCAGGTTGAGGCAAGCACAAGCGGATCCAATGACAATTATCTATTTTGAGGGTCTTCTACGATATTATCTGTTTTTAGGTGCTTTAAACACGTGGCTGCAAAATATCAATAAATGCCTACAACAACACACAAGTATAAAAGCGATAGGCAAAAATGGGTAGGCAACTTGGATTTCATTCATCACTACTTCCTAAAGAGTTTCCTTTGGGAATTACATTGTTTTCCCACATAATAACTTCTTCCAAGGCCTAGAAAAATTAACAGACCTACAAAGCTTCAAATACATTCAAAGGGAGTTAGATTCTAACACTATGCTAGCAGTTCTTTGCTTGGCATGGCCAGTCCCAAGCTCTGATAAGAGGGTTGCATTAGCTAATGGACAGACAACATAAAACATTGTAGAACCTCTGTAATAGGTACTATTATATAAGCAATATACCACTGTCCATACTCCAAAGTTAGCATGCTAGCCCAGAATTGTGCCATGTCAGGCGATCTTCATGGAAACGAACCTTTTAAACTGTTTTTTTCACCATAAGGGAATCAAGGATGATATTGTACCATTTGCACAACAATAATTGATCTAAGTTCTTTAGATAAATTAACCATCTTAATAAAAATTAGGAATAATGAGGATATAAAAGCTACACAAGAAATAAGGCTGTCACAATTATCAGAAGACCATTTTCAATTCAATACCTATATGTCACTTGACTGCTGGGGATGTAGGCCTCTAAGGAGTGGTAACATCAAACTTTTGATTATCTCTACTCCTTTTGTCCCTAAATAAAAGCTTCATTTCTCCCAAAATAAAAGCCTCATTATTCATTCATGCAGGGTCCATCTTTTGATAATATTTTCCAGCCACTATCTCTGTTCCTCAAAACAATAAACCATCCCATTACCTTCCCTTTTTTTTTTTTTATTCAGCTTTAATCAACAATACACCACTATGACTCCTCTCCTTAAATCGCTTGTCTAGAATAAATGTGGCGGAAAGGGATGTAACACTAGTCATCACACCCTACTTTTCTACTTTTGACTACCAAAGTACCAAGATTTATCGAACTACTGATAGTCTACTGCCAACCATCTTATGCCTGAGCATAGGTACAAGTTCCAATTCTGCCCAATCAAATAAATAATTCAATCTTTAAACAACAGTAACGTGTCTTTATTACATAGCTCCAAATCTTCCAATGGAAGCAAATAAGAACATCTTGTTCACTAGCTAACTAATTGGATTCGCAAAGCTCCACTGAAGCACAAATATAACCACTCTCAACTTTACAAATCATTCGTATCCAAATCCCTTCATCATATTGTTCTTGTTTGGTGTGTACCCAAGAACAGGATTTTGACGAATAGAATGGATACTGAATACAGATATTATTCCAAAGACAAAAACTATAACAAAGAACACAAAAACCAACCTTTTATTTTTAGGAAAATTCCACAACACCATGGCAATTTTTATTTTTCCGTTAATTCTAAATCGACATGAATGCAATTAAGAAACGAGATGAAAGTATGAAACAATAGATCATGATAAGAACAAGGCAGCCAAATTTGAGATAAACAATGTCATTATTTATAGTAGGGGGAACTAACCTGCTTCAATTTTGAAGTAGTCTCAATCATGCGTCCTTGAATCTCAATAAATGCCTAATTACATATATTTCAAATCAGCAATACCCTTAAATACTTCACATATTAACACAAGTGAAACCAAAAAAAAAAAAAAATTAACATTAAACGAATAATAACGAAATTATTTAAAAATTAGGCCAAAATTTGCATCATTAATCTAAAAAACACTAAAAATTAAGTTTTTAACATACTGTTCTGCTTGCTTCATCCGCCATTTTAGCTACTGAAATGCAGACTTAATTCAAACTTAATCACTGTTTCAGAAAAAAGCAAACAATCAAAGATTATTAATATTATTAGTACAAGTAAAAGCGAAAAGTTAATTAAAAAAAAATGAAGAAAGAGTAATGTAGTAGGGTTTAATTGGAAAAATCCTAGATCTGTAAATTGATTGAATGCTTAATTTAAGAAGAAGATGAATGAACCTCGGAGATGCTAGGTCACCGGAAAAAGTTTTCCGATTTGATTGCCGGTGGCAGGCGGTTGATCACCAGTGGAATATGGAAGGCGTCTCTGCTGTCGATGAAGAGTTTAGGAATGAAAAATTAAGAACCAAGACGCTGGTTTTCCTTTTTCTATTTTGTGATACTTTGATTTCTACAGTAGAATCTACACTGTTTAAATATTTAATCCAAGGGTGTTAACGAGCTGAATTTACTCGAGAAATGCTCTATGTTTGACTTGGTCAAAGCTTGACCTGAGTGGGCTAATAGCCTAAGACTCAAGTTCAAGTTCAGGTTGAGATCTTAACAAGCTATAATAGGCCAAGTTTAAGATATCATTTACTTGATTCGAAAACTCGTGAACAAGCTTGAATTTTAATTTCATAATAACAATATTATTTTTATAAATAAATTGTAACCTAAAATTATATATTGTCATCTAAGCCTTGGGCTATTGTTATTTTAGGGCCTTATTTGAGAAAATTAAGTTATCAATTAAAATAGTGTGATCAAAACGAGTAAAATCGATAGTAGATTGAGCATTTGGTTATTGAGTCGAGCTAAGCTCTTGTCTAGGGTATCTCGCTCAAGTCGTGTTCAACAAGCATTGAGCTTGAGTTGAGCCCGAGCTCACTAGTGTCGAGGTCGAGCCAAGCCTAGAGAGCTTCGGTCTCAAATTGACTTGTTAATAGTTTAATACCCCTATTGCATCCATGCAACTAAGGATGTAAATAAATCAACCTGAGTATGAACACGAAAGTGAACTTTCCACCAAGTAAAAAAATATGTTTGAACTCGGTTCTCTTAGAAGGTTATTGTTTTCTCGAAGAACTCATTTGTTGAGTGAATGTCATTAACGCTAAACAAAGAATAGATTCTGAAAAACACTCCAACCTTTATTGAATATCATTTTATGTGATGGTAAGTAATTAATTATTTAACCAATGTGATAGTAAATAATGATTGGCTAGAAACAATTTGGGGTTAAAAAACTTGATAGTAATTAACCCCGTCTAACCCATTGTTTTAAATTTTTAAGACCTTATGGATTTGGGTGTAATTTGGTTCACATGAAAATGTTAGGATATGGGCCAAATCCAAACTCGATTCAGGTCCAACCCATATACATTCCTACCTTTTTTTTTTTTTTCACCACATTCCTATCTATGTAATATTACTTTTTAGAATACGTTCGTGTTACAGATTTAATGACTATAATAAGGAGTACTTTGTTAGGGATTTCTTCTTATTTTAATTTTCTTACTTTCTAAGTTCAAATTATGATTGACTAGGTTGTACCAATCGCAAACGTCATATAATTATGTAAGATATGTGTATTAGATTAATTAAATAATCCAACAAAGTAGACTAGTATGCCAAATGAAAATGTATGGTGTATGTATTAAGCAATAATTAATCAATAATAACATATAATACTAAAACAGACATCAGGAATGACACGTGTCATATCATGGTGCTGTTATTTTCCCTCCAAACCACTCCTTCCCTTTTTGCAAAAACTTCTTTGAAAATTTTAGTATAATATTACTGTCATAATATTATTGCAAATCTTTTATAAGTATCTTTTATTTTTATTTTTATTTTTATTATTATTATTTTATTTGCTTATTTTGTTCTTTTAGTATCTTTCATTAAGAAATTTCAAAATATTCCTATTATAATAAAGAATCTTCATACTTATTGCATATTTTATAGACAAAAATAACATTATTTTATCTTAAATATTCAGCTATTTATGTTTTATTTAGTATATTCTACTATCATAAAGTGTATTGTAAAATGTGTATATTGTTTTTTTTGAATGCTTTAATTGGTTTCTCTCCTAATTCTAACACGTGGAACATAACAAAAAGGAAATATAACAACATAGCTTAAAATTATACATAAACACTTTATCTATGCATGTAGTCATGTAAGAAAGTATCCCAGTACTTTCATATATTATTATATATTTAAAACATTCATATGGTGTAATATGTAGTTTTAATATACTCATTTGTCTAATCAACTATTTCCCTTTCATTATATTTCATGTTTCATTTTATTATATATGCAAATAAGAAGATAATAAATATGTTATAGTTGTATAAAAATAAAGAGTTTTTTTTTTTGTTTTATCGATTAATTGTAGTGAAATTACCGTGCACGGCACAGGACCTAATCATGATTTGGTCTTGGACCTAGGTAGTACGAATCGCAAACGTCATATAATTGTGTAAGATATGTGTATTAGAATAATTGAATAATCCAACAAACTAGTATGCCAAATGAAAATGTAAGACGTACGTACTAAGCAGTAATTAATTAGTCTTATACAATCCACCCAAATCAAAGACCAAATAACAAAAATTTGATCTTCATTTTTGGGATTTGGATCTAGATTTAAAATCAGATATTCACATTCCAAGAACTTCTTGCAGCTTCACGTAAGTAAATCAAATAGATATTTGGGGGGAAAAAAAACCACATTTTCTTTGATTTTCATGACACCACCATATATTTTTAATATAATAAGTACATCATGTTATTGATTTTGAGTCAGACTAATGATAGTGCAATCTTGTGAACTAACTTCATAAAATAAATTACTCGGTACAATTTTTCCCCTACAAAATGATCTTATATAAACTCCTTTTTTCCTCTTTATTTTCTCAACATTCATAGTCAAATGTCCAATTCTTTACAAATTCAATAATTAAGTACTATAGAACAATATGGAACTTTTCTTTTGTTACTTCTTCCTAGGATTTCTCCTCCTCATCTTGCTCTCACTTCAAATCCTTTTTTATAAACATCGATCCCTCTTCTCCTCCGCAAACCTTCCTCCAGGAAGGATAGGATGGCCTCTTGTCGGTGAAACTCTAGAGTTCTTGTCCACGGGATGGCAAGGCCACCCCGAGAAATTTGTATTTGACCGTATGGTCAAATACTCCCAAGAATGCTTTAAGACGAGCATTCTTGGGGAGCCTGTGGCTTATTTTTGCGGCCCAACAGGCAACAAGTTCTTGTTCTCAAACGAGAACAAGCTTGTTACAACCTGGTGGCCAGAGGCTGTAAACAAAGTGTTCCCTAGTTCCCTCCAAACTAACTCTAAGGAGGAGTCTATAAAAATGAGGAAACTCCTTCCTCAATTTCTAAAGGCCGAGGCCTTACAAAGATACATTGGCATCATGGATACCATCGCCCAGAGGCACTTCGCCTCTGGGTGGGAAAACAAAGAGGAAGTCTTTGTTTTCCCATTAGCCAAAAGATACACCTTTTGGCTTGCGTGCCACATTTTTCTTAGTGTCGAGGATCCTACCCATGTAGCTCGCTTTGCTGACCCATTTCGCCTCTTGGTTTCCGGGGTTATCTCTATCCCAATTAATTTCCCCGGAACACCATTTAACAAGGCAATTAAGGCCGCCGAGTTTATAAGGAAGGAGCTCATATTGATCATTAACCAAAGGAAGATTGATTTAGCAGAGAAAAAAGCAACACCAACCCAAGATATATTGTCTCATATGCTAACTAAAACAGATGAAAATGGGAAACATATGAATGAAATGGATATTGCAGATAAAATTCTGGGTTTATTAATTGGTGGACATGATACTGCTAGTATTGTCATTTCCTTCATTGTCAAATACCTTGCTGAACTTCCTCATGTATATGATGCAGTTTATGAAGGTATGTATATACTAGTAGAAATTATGCATGAAAAAAAATATGAAAATTTCTATTGCCTCTTTTGATCATGAAAATTGGGATTTATAATGTTGTTAATCTGTTCTCTTGGGTTGTACAGAGCAAATGGAGATTGCGAAATCGAAAGCGGCTGGGGAGTTGTTAACATGGGAGGATATGCAAAAGATGAAGTACTCATGGAATGTGGCTTGTGAAGTAATGAGGCTAATTCCTCCATTACAAGGAGCTTTTAGAGAAGCTATGGCTGACTTTAAGTATGCTGGTTTCAACATCCCTAAGGGTTGGAAGGTATATTTATAAGGATTTTAACCACTTGTTACCTTAGAGTGTTAATTGAAGATGTGCTAGGGTGCACTTTGTTCATTCTAGAGCTAATGAAAAGATTCGGGTTTTACGTGTTAGAGTAGAATTTCGATTTTTCTTAAAAATGTGGCTCACCTTGACTAATCAGACCAAGTTTGAGCATGGCCCGATGAATGTGACTCTATCTAACAAGTGTGGCCAAATATTTTTATTACCACAATTTTTGTTGGTCTAGGCCACGATAAACTCTACTCTATTTTTGTGTTTCAAGTTTATTGACAAAAAAAAAATACACTCATACTTTTATTTTTTAATACGGTAAGATACGGGAGGTCCCCCCACCCTATCACAGAAATAGGGGATGAGGATCGAACCCCCAATCACTTGGGGGGTTGGAAGGACTAACCATCCCTCCATCTCCTATTTCCTCACTCATATTTTCATCTTATGCACAAATGCGTGCACATATAGACTCTCAGACACTATCGGCATAATGACGTAATGTTTTCCCCTGTATCTTTGTTGGTTGTAGCTATACTGGAGTGCCTATTCAACTCATCAAAACCCGCAATATTTCGCGGAACCAGATAAGTTTGACCCGAGTCGATTCGAGGGAAGTGGGCCAGCACCATACACATATGTACCATTTGGGGGAGGGCCAAGAATGTGTCCTGGCAAGGAGTATGCACGGTTGGAGATACTAGCCTTTATGCACAATGTGGTGAAGAGATATAAATTTGAGAAAATAATTTTTGATGAAAAAATAATAGCTAATCCTTTTCCTAAGCCAGAAAAAGGGCTTCCTATTCGCCTCATTCCACACAATGTGAAAGTGTAGTTGGTCAAAGAAGTGGTTATTGCAAACAATATTATACTTGTGTATCACTCAATGTCTCAATGTTATCATTTGTTTGAGATGATCTTTCAACTAGTTTTGTCATTTATTTGATGTGTCTATTAGTACTAGTTTAATTAACTTGGTGAATTAATATATTGTTCATCTTATATGTATGAATGAATTATATATTTTTTTTATGGACAAAGGCTAAACGGAATTACGTGAAGTTACTAAAAGAATTTTTGCACTAAATTTGCTAATCCATTTTTTTTTAAAAAAAAAAAATTTCAAGAAGGATCAAGGTTGGGCTTTGGGTTCCGGCCCAAAAATATATCTTCTTTAAACTTTTTTTGACCAGGCCAAAATAATATAATAACTATACTTGTATTATTTTAGGCTGAGTCCAAAAGAACAATTAATCTAATTCTTCCGTTTAGTAAGGATATTTTAGATTTTAACACCTGACAAAAACCCGAAAATGGTTTTTAACACCCCAAAAAAAAAACTTTTATTTTAACACCAGACAAAAACTATAAAAATAGTTTTTACCACCACTTAACGGTTTCCGTCCAAATATTCCGTTAAGTGGGGTTCACAGTGACACGTGTCACCATTTTTACTTGTTTTCAAAAAATAAAAAAAAAACAAAAAAAAATAAATTTTTTTTATAAAACTCAAACAACCAGAAGGCAGCCACCAACGGTGGCCCTTCTCCCTGACCAACTCCCGAACCACCCTCTCCTAGCCCCCCGTCATCGGGTTTCGCCACCGAACCTTCCTTATCACCGGAAATCGACGTACCCTCGCTTCCCGCAGCCAAAATTCGAGAACCCCCACCGAAAATCGTGCCCAGAAAACGGCGACGAATTTCAGGGGTGGTGGTTTTGCGGCTGAGCAATCTTCCTTCCCCTAAAACGCCAGCAAATTTGGCCATTAATGGCTGAAATCGACCGATTTTGGGACTGAGTGGCCTTAACCGGCCGATTTCGGCCATCAATGGCCGAATTCGTGGCTGAATCAATGACCAAAAATTCATGGCTAGTGATGGCGGTGGTCAGGCTAGGGTGGTTTAAGGCTGCGGGAAAAGGGTGGGGATGGGTTTAGGTCGGCCGGTGAGGGAGGGGGAGGTGGTGCGCCGGTCGTTGCGTCGCCGGCTGTGGGTCAAGCTGAAGAAGAAGGTGGCAGTGGTGGGGCGGCGGTGGGGCTAGGGTGGCAGGGTAGTTTTAGGTTTTTTTATTTTTTTGTTTTTTTATTTATTTTTTTTTATTTTTTGGACAATAATAAAGCGACACGTGGCTCATGAATCCACTTAACGGATTCCTAAACGGAATCAGTTAAATGGTGGTAAAAACCATTTTTATATTTTTGTCAGGTGTTAAAATAAAAGTTTTTTTTTTTGGGGGGTGTTAAAAACCATTTTCGGGTTTTTGTCGGGTGTTAAAATCGAAAATATCCGTTTATTAATACTTGCAACACTTTTCTTTTCACGCTTGCCAATGCACTATTTCAATCGTTAATATTTTTAATTACCAATGTGCAAAAATTATAAAATTTTGATATTATGAAAGTATAAATCGAGACGAGTAAAACAAGATCCCACATGACTATATATTTTTCCTAACCTATAAATCACCAAATCTAGTCAAAGTGAGATATGTAAATAGTGTAAAAGTCAAGCTGTTACAAGTAAAAAAAACGAAGGAAGTAATTTTTTGAGCAAAATCGATCTGATCTTGAAATTTAGTCCAAAATATTTTGAAACACTCAAAATTTAATACAGATGCTATATGGGATTGAGAATACATAATTGTATTTTGTTTTCCAAATAGTATTATTTCAATATTCTAGTTCTAGTTAAACATCAACAATTATGTAAAGATAAATAATAAAAAAAATACATTAAATGAATTAGGAAAAGAGGACATATCACATAGACATATCACATAAAACTAGCATGTACTTTATACACGTAATTCGTGTATGATTTCTTTTAGATATAACTAGTCTAAGACCCGTGTCATGCACGGTTATTTACTAAAACTCAATTTATTATTAACCTAATCACAAATTTTTATATGTGGCTAGCCACATCGTGTGGCCAGCCATTAAAGGGGTTACTTCGTGAATGTTATAGGGGTTACCCGGTCAGTGTTCAGGGGTTACTTCCTTAGAGTTATAGGGATTACTTCGTCAGTGTTATTATAAGGGTTACTCAATCAGTGCTAAAGGGGTTACTCGGTCAGTGTTTTAGGGGTTACTTTGTTCTTTTACAATCGGCCACACGGTGCGGCTGGCTGCACACAAGACGCACTGTAACCTAATTGGATAATAATTATTTTTGTAAGACACCTATCAATATAATTAATATAATATTAATGTTACTTTGTAAAAAAAATTAAGTTAAGATATTTCTGCTAAAAATTGAGTAGAAAAATTTTGACTGAAATATATTATTATAATATCATTTTAGCAAATAATATTTATATTAATACTAAGAATCTATACTTGCTATTATATGTATATTTATTGTCTATAAATATCGTCAATGAAAAAGGATATATACACTACGGAGAAAGAAAATCAAGTATGAATATTTTTTATTTTTATTCTATTTTATTAGAAAGTGTTTTTGGAGGGAAATGACAGCACCAGAAAGTGACACGTGTCATTCCTGGTGTTTGTTTTAGTATTATGTTATTAATTTATATTCCAACTGATTAACATATATGTTTTTAGTGATAATACCCTAACCAAAGGGCATGTACTCCTTCAACTTCAAATGATGAATCAAAATTCAATTGTGTGATTATTAATAAAATTTTAACAATGACTAACCATGTTTAAAGTAAGGAGTTAAAATAAATCATGAGACATGAATATATAGAATTTACCCTTAATTAGCACCATTAATTAAATGAGAACGTAATGCGTGCGGACTGTCGCGCGCATAATCAAGTGCGTAAAAACACAAACCCATCTATAATGTAAAAGGTGCAGGTTAGAAGCCCGGTGGTGTAGGCGTCATTCGAAGCGCGCCTACGTTAGCATGTTGTGAATATGCTTGGCACTCATAGGAAGTGGGAATTGACATACGATTAGGGACAAAGCAAAGTAGGGAGCTGCCAACAAGTTTTTAAGGAACTTGTAAACCGTTTACAGATCATTTAAATGCAACCACAATTAAGGGACAACGGTAGGCAACAACGATTGACCCATGAAGGTTACACACCATTCATAATCCATGAGATTACTAACTCCATATGGTTCAGAACCACGAAAGGAGGATCGGATCGTGGATGATGATACGAAGTGAGTCATGGAGTCACATTCGCCCGTATTGGCCTCTACTCGATTCTTATTGTGAAAAGGGATTCCTGCGATCTCAAAGGCATGCAAACAAAGATTCAATTTGCTCCAAACTAACATTAAGCTAAATTGGTTTAATATTAATGCAATATATAATTCTAAAATATCGTGAGCACTTCGATTAAACAACAAGATTAAAAAGGAACCTAAAATCGGTCGTCCAAATTATCTTATTAGGCGTGATATTCAATTACATATTCCCTTTAAACATGCAATATAGTGATCAATAAATATGATAGAATCAATATCAACATTGGAAGCAATTTAACCATAATAACATTAGCCAAATCAAATAATGATAAACCTAATCATGATACTAGCAACAAGAATAATAAAAAGAGTAATTAAGTGAATTAACTACTCACGTTCCGCGTTTCCTTGGATTGCTACATCATGAATAAACTGTTAGTAACTTCAATAAATAGTAAATCAAATTGAATTAAATTAAATGAAAAGTAGAGTTGATTTGGTCCAAACCCTCAGTTAATTCTACCTTTCACGCCTTGGTTTAAGTATAGAATTTCGGGTCAAGTATGGACTCCTTGGAGTGCTTAGAGGAAGTATTATGAGAGAATAGGGTGGCTAGTATTTAGGCTAAAGGCAGAAGATAATGATTTTTGGTGCAGGGAGAAAGAGTTTGATATTTGGTGCCCCGAAACTGGAGAAATTAGGTCCGTATTTATAGAGAAAATGTGAGGGGTGAAGCACGGAACCCTAGAAGTGAAAAGGCACCGCGGAGAAACCCTAGAAAAATGTCGCGTCACGGCATGTGTGCCAAAATGGTATCTAAATGAAATATCATCCAAGACCAAATTGGTAATTGTTAAAATTGCTGCCTGCACCGAGTACAACTATGGTACAGCAACCTGATTTTGTTTGTAATCAGTTGATTATTGAATAATTGGAATCCTGTTGCAAATGATGTATGGACGGGTTGGTCGCAAACCCATTGTTAAATACATGGCCGCGTTCACCAAAATGAAGTTGACCATGGTATGCAATGTTGGTGAAATACGTAACTACCTCACTGTGCGGACTCATGTGAATCCCACCAGCTAATAACCTTCCATTAAACGCTGAAGGGCCACTCCCATTGCTTGGTACAGCATAATAGCCCTGGTGGACCTATAATTGCCAACTTATAATTGTACTTAATACCTAAGTCACTGCTCAACAGAAAATACGCAGCTGAAATTAATCACCTAATTACACTACAAATACCTGATTGTGCCCATGCTGTTGGAAGATTAACATATCCCCCCCTCTTCCCCCCCCCCCAAATTACATGTCGGCTTTTGTTGAGTAGCCAACATATTAGGCAAACCAACCTGCAAAAATTCAGTTTTTGTTAAAAATACCGATGGAAATATACATTAAACACACAACAGACACATAACACGCTACACTTACTTGGATTTCGTAGCTTGAGGGATGTTGCACAGTCCCAATATCATAATCTAGATCATTGTCATGCCCCGTAGCCTGTTTCTTCTTACAACTTGTCTTGGCAACCTAGGCTTGTTTCTTCGAAGCGCCTTTTTCTGCCAGGGATACGAATCGAGTTCCTTTAGGTCTTCCCTTCTTATTACTACCCCGAGGTTTTGGATCTTTCACACATGTTGAATTAGAGATGGATTTGGGTGTGTCTTCTGGTTGTGTAAGACTACCTTTGTTAACTGAGCTAGGAGTTTTTGGAATTAGAGGCATACCATGTTTCACTAACGCCAGATCACCACCAAGCCTTTCATCCCCGCCAGAACCCTGGCCCGACCCTTCTTCCAACTCACGTAGTTCATCGACCTTAATGCTCATTAACTGAATCAAATCCATCAGGACTTCAACAGCTTCATCCGATGATGAAGCACGCATAACAGCAGGTTCAAGAGCTAACATCAACTTATCTCATCATTTCTTTTGTTTTGGACGCATCATGATAAGCAACTTTGATAAGGGTGTGTTTCCTACTAATATCCTTTCTCCACCTATCAAGATGTACATGGGAGGGACCTCACTAACGTCATTCATGTCTAAAACCTTTATTACGCGTCTAAAAACAATCCTATGACATTCAAAGTGGCGACAATCACAGTACGCCTCATTTCTCTCTTTGTTATACAAAACTGTATACTCCTTTAGCTTACCTTTGAGGGGAATTTCTCTCATCTTTTTCTTGCAATATATCCATACACGGTCTGAAAAGACATGCTCTTCCTCATTATGTGACACCAACTTCTTTGACCCCAGAGGGGTCACATATGCCACACGGTTGCACTAATTTTGTATTTCAACAAACTTCTCATCTGTTTATAGTTTTTGAAATTTATATTCCAACACAAATTTTGGTAATAGAGGCCTCACATAACGCGCTGAGTTCGCATCCGCTTCCTTCTCATCGTTTGCACGGCTTTCCATCGCCTTACAGTAATTAAGAGCAAACTCATATATCCGAGTGCGCTTGTCAATATACCCATCAAAAAAGCTATTTATGCTCTCAACTCTTTGAGTTGTCTGCATTCCTGCCGAAAATACATCTGTCCTAACTACAATACACCACAGCTATTCAGAGCATCAGTTCTTCATTTTCAATCCTAAATGGAATATCATACTCAATATGGCATGGCAGCATGTCCACTACAAGAACCTCCTCATCTTAGTGTTTTAGACCAAATTATATACCCTACAATAACTAATAAGCAAAAGTGTGATGCGCATTAACACTAATATAGGTAACTTAACAGAACCAAGTGAACACAAGATGGACATTCACATTCATACTTTTACTGTGGCCAGTAATTAGTATTTAAAAAATAATTATAGAACATATTCAAACTATTAATGTAATTACAAGAAATAAAAAAACTGACCTTCTAGCCACTCATAGCACTCAAACTCTTCTAGCTTGAACTTTTTCACAACTTTCCACCAGGAATCAACAAACTCCTTCGGGGTAATTCTGTTGTAGATAACATGATGCCACTCTTCTTTGACATCCTGATAGTTAGAAAGTGCACCAAGTTTCTTCCCAAACTTCTTCATTATATGCCACATACACCACCGATGGCGTGTTTGAGGCATTGGAAAAAATAGCTCTTATTGCCTTTGATGAATCTATTTTATATATATTTTTATTCTCCGTCCCACGGTCATATTTA